AAGAGATTGTAAGCCACTCTGAGGCTCCGAGTGAAGAGCGGGGTATAAATCCAACTTCTTCTTCTAGAAGATCAATATTAAAATAATCCAGGATTTTTGAAACAGAACTGAGAAAAGTTACTAGAGATGAGATTGTTATTGCTGCTCTGAACTATAAGATGATTCTGTTTACTTTTTTTCTGATTACCATACTGGACTGCTTCATGCACGCAGAACAAAGAAGCCATATATCCCCTTAGTGATTGTTTTACTGTGCAGAAATAAGCATGTCTCTTGCAGATAATGAGAACTAGTAAAGTTAACAAAGAATGTATTATTTAAAATAATCATGAGGGCCCAATCGGAATCCTGTGATGGCAACAGCTTGCAATCTTGTCATCCCCCCCAATGCCTTTTTGAGTGCTGAAACAGTCCTGGCAGGCTGTTTCAACACCTGAAAATGGTGGTGGTGGGGGGGGACAAGATCACATTGTACCACCATGCCACCGGGAAACATCTAGTTTGGCTCCTAGAGTCCTGGAAGAGAAGAATCCTACCATGGCAGAAATGACCCTGCCCTCTGTGGCCTGCCTTCAGCCCAACTAATCCAAAAGTCCACTTGCTGCCATGGACTGCTGTTATAACAGATCCGTGGCTTGTAATATCCTAATCAAGCTGTTTTCTGGTGCCAAGATATCTATAGAGCTCAAGAGGCTCTGTCATGCAGTAATTAGCGTTAGTCTGGGCAGAAGCCCACGGAGTAAAAGGGTTTTTCTTAGGTTCTTAACCTTGGCCTAGAGGCATTCTCAGCATAATCAACTCACAGATTTGTTGTGAAGACAAGTGTGGGAAAGAGAAAGCACTGTGCACTGCCCTGAACTCTTTGGAGGAAGGGTGGGATGATCTGATATTTAACAGACAGATGTGGTAGATAAAAGAAGGTCTGAGTGTTTGTTTATTTTACTTATACCCCACCGTTTCTCCCCATGGGGCCAAAAGCAGCTCACATCATTCTTCACTCCATTATATCCTTACAACAACCCTGCAAGGTAGGTTGGGTCTCCCAGATCCTAGTCTGACACTACACCGTTACACACTAGATCCCACATAGCTTGACTCAGCAGATGGATAAGCAACAGAGGGATTCACCAGTTCCCCTCAGAGGACCAAAGTAGTCAAACATTTTTCTTGCATATGTAGGCCTGCAAACCAGCATACAAGGAGAGATTGGGGGGGGGGGGGGGTGTCTTAACATTTTGTGCTCTGATCAGTAACAGCAAGAGACCGGCTAGAGAACAGCAATGGAGGGTGTTGTTTTTTGTTCCTTAAAAGCAGCTGATTGTGGAGTGTTAACTCTTTTACCACTAGCTACCAATAGCCCCAAGAAAGGCAACCTCTCATACACATATTCCAAATGAAATAAACGACAGACCCATTTTAGACACAGTTAACTGCATATACTGTGTAGATTCAGGAGGGTAGTCACGTGTTGGTCTGAAGCAAGACGGCCTGCAAGACAGAGCTCTCCTGCCAGGCTTTTAGTTAGGAGCCGCCCACCACTACCACCAACTATTATTGTTAGTAACACCGGGGTAGTTGGTTGGCCTATATGGAGATCAAGCCACAGTAACGTACAAGACAGATACGGCTGAATTGGGACTTGTGTCCATCTACAGGATGCCATCTTCAATGTGATTGGAAGATCATTTCTATGTTGAGCACTTTAATTGTAATGATATGGTTGTTTTATCGTGTTTTATCTGGTTTTATAGGTTTTATGTACTCTGGCACATAGTGCCTTTAAATGAAAGCCACCATGAGCCCGTTTGCGGGGAGGGCGGGATAGAAATCCAATAAAATAAAATGAAATAATAAAATAAAAAGCAGCAGAAGTATGAATGAATCCGATGGCACCTTTAAGACCAACAAAGTTTAATTCTGGGTGTAAGCACATAAAAGATTATACCTTGAATAAAACTTTGTTGGTCTTAAAGGTGTCACTGGACTCAAACTTTGTTCTGTATATACTGTAAATACTCCCATATGCCTGTGTCAGATAGTAACTGAAACTGTCTTCAGTATTGGAGGGGATGTTCTTGCTCTGGAAATTTAACTGCTTTCCTTCTTGTGAGCGGCAGAGGATCTTAAAGTATGAGAGAGAAGTTAATTCCTTCTTTCTGTTTTCGCTCTCTGTCTGCTTTAGAAGCATGGCACACGAGTGGAACTTGTTCATGCATTCTTGAGCCTCTGCTAAATAGTCACATTGCAGATGTTTGCTATTGGTTTGCCATAAGATGTTGCTTCTGAACTCTACCCAGATACAATAGACCTTTTTTACTATCCTAATTCTGCAACTGCTCTGCAAGTCCCGTTGCTGAGGCGAGGGAACACATGGTGGACTGATAAAAACGTGAAATTCCATAATCCAGCATCACACAATTTATCTTCTGCATTTGCTGGTAAGAATTATCCTATTGGCTTCCTTTAGCTTAAAGATGGTGCACCAGTTTGTGACATGAAGCTAGCAGCCTTGCTGGGGGGAAAGTCTGTTTCTTGACAATGCAGCTTGAGCACATCTCAGAGTAGTGATGCAAGCCAGTCCCAATTTCTGGCTGCCCTGAGTGCTAGCAACAAGAAATGGTGGCCTTGAAGTCGGAAATCACCAACTCCCTACCTTTCCCCATTCACTGTGCAAGAGACTTATATAAAAGAAATTCCCCTCACCATAAAATCAATGCCCAGGCCAAACCGCTGGACCTAGAAACACCCAATTCAGGGAGAGCACTCCTACCATGACATAGGTGCTCACTAAAAAGGGAATTTTAGAAATTCGACTCCTAAGGGGGTCAAAAGGGGCAAAATGTGCTTCCCCCACTGATACCTATGCGGCTGCCAGGCTGCTGCTTCCTTGAACCCCCCACTCTCTGATTGGTCAGCTGCAGAGCTCAGTGTTCTGAGGTAAAAAACACCCAACAGTTACAGGAGACTGCACAGAGCTAATGACAGTTGCGGAAATCAGGAATGGCCAACAACCACAGTGGTCAAAAATACCAGTGATATCAGGAGGTCCAGTAGTGGGGCCAGGACACTAGGAGCCCTCACACTATTGACCCCCCCCCAGCACCAAAAATACAGCGCATCACTTGCCCCGGAGTCCCTATCTATACCTTGTGGCTAATAGCCACTGATGGACCTCTGCTCCATATGCTTATCTAATTCCCTCTTGAAGCTGTCCATGCTTGTAGCCGCCACCACCTCCTGTGGCAGTTAATTCCATGTGTTAATCACTCTTTGGGTGAAGAAGTACTTCCTTTTATCTGTTCTAATCCGACTGCTCAGCAATTTCATGGAGTGCCTATGAGTTCTTGTATTGTGAGAAAAAAGGGAGAAAAGTACCTCTTTCTCTACCTGCTCTATCCCATGCATGCATCTGTGTGTCCTCAGCCTGCCCCTACCTTTCTAAGAGTAATTCCCATATCCCATTAAATTACATCCCTAATGCCAATGAGATGGTCTGGAGTTGTTTTCTGTTGCCCCGGAAGGTCAGACCAGAACCAACAGGTTGAAATTAAATCAGAAGATTATTTGGCTAAACATAAGGAAGAACTTCCTGACA